GCAGCTTTTACCGCAGGCGTTTCCCGGCGGGTTGATAGGGTGTGTAGTGGGTCATCCTAGTATCATCGTCATCATCATCATCACCATCATCATCATCACCGTCGTCATCACCACCATCACCTTCATCACCATCGTCATCATCATCATCATCATCATCATCAGTCTCGCTGCAGTCGGCGTAGGAGCAGCAGGCAGAGTAGTCGTTGTTACTATCACAGCCAGATTGGGGTGACCGTGGCATTTTTCGTGACAAGGAAGTGTTTCAGCTACGAATCCTTCTGACGTGCTCCGAGGCTCATTGAAAACACACGCAAAACTGTGACTCTGTAAGCCTCGGAACGTCTCGGTGTCCCAGCTTGTATACAGATTGCTTCAGGCTGCAGTTTCGGTGGTGGGGCTCAGGGCTGGTCGGTCTATGTAATGAGAGTTGAGGGTTAATTTTTTTCGGGCATTGAGTGTGGGCGTGCGGAGCTTCGAGCCGTATTCTGCTGAGTGCCGAGCGATCATATCCGGTTTAAGGCTTAGCTGTGTTTTCTGCCTCAAAACAGGTGTTTATACAGGGTAGTACTTGGACCTCTACAGCCCAAAACGCAAGAGCCTATACAGCCCCGAACCCTTTCACCCCACACCCCGAGACCCTGAACTATATCCACTCACGCTCTTTTTCTCTCTCTTTGTCTATCTATTCTGTCTCTTTGCATCTGGTAAACTGTAGCCCTCCCAAGCCATGTCTACCTGAACCCGAAAAGCCCTATACCCTTTTTTGGGGGGCATCCCGATTATGATTTCCTTTTTAAACTTACCTAGCACGGTAGTTTAGTTGGTGTTAAGGTGAGAAGGCCCAGGGCTTAGAAGCGGCAGGGGGGCCGGGTTCTTCGTAGTGGTATTGCATAACATCCGATCCAAGAGAAGTATGGAGGTATCTTGGTATTAGGGCTGCCTGGCTTTAGGGGTGCTTATGACAAAGATCCGGAGATTATGAGGTTCTATACTTTGGCCCACTTAGTATACGATAGCCATTTAGTCTCTACCCATAGGCTCCTAAGTAATTCCTTTCTTATGGCTCATATGTAGAATCTTTCATGGTATTCCCAAAAAGGAACTACTAAGGAGCCTCTGGGTAAAGCTCCCTCCTCCGGAGTCCTCAAAACATAAGGCCACCAGGATCCACGAAGGTAGGATTTGGGGTTCTTCCGCCGTCGGAGCCGCCCAGGATCAGGTGGAGCAGGTGTTCCAGGCGCAAAGAGACTGAATAATGATTGGAAATAGAAGGTACCAGGGTTTCAGGGCTTTCTTTGGCATACAAGGGGCTTTTGAACTCCCCCAAAAACCCAAAGTATCGAGGGCCCGCCCTTGCTACTCCACTTTGAGCCCCTAAGCTTTGGGCCAATTGGGGGGCTGCATGCTCCATAAGCGCCTTAGAGGTTAAATGCCTGGACCTTACAACTCTTTCGCTCACGCAAAAAAATAACCCAAGCGCCTAAACCCCAAACCCTACCTTAGAGCCCCGGATTTCGGAGAGCTTCAGAAAGGCCGCCCAGCCCTGATTCAATTCCTCCGTGGATTTTGATTGGGGCATTTATCTATGATTGCTCTTCAGGCTCTTCAGGGCAGTTGATTCGGTATCATGGGTATACATCGCTTGATACGACTAGCCCATTTTAAAAACCTATTCACTACTTATATGCGCAATTTCGTATAAGATGTAAGAATATGATATGATATATATATATAGATAGATACACACATACACGCGTGTGTGTGTGTGTGTATGTGTGTATATATATATATATGCATACACACCATTATGTGGGTTTCTATAAACATACAGCATACACAAAATGATGTATGTATGTCTGTATGTCTGTCGGTATGTTTTATGTATGCATGTTTGTATGCATGTATGTATGTACGTATGTGCGTACGTACTTTCGTATGTATGTATGTATGTATGTATGTATGTATGTATGTATGTAGGTATGTATGCATGCATGTGTGCGTGTCTGTGAGCATGTGTATGTATGTGTATATATATATATATTTGTAAATATACATACATCTAGACCGCGGTCCCTTGTCTCTATACACCAAACCCGAAAACCCGAAAGCCTGCAACCCTGGATCGAAACAAATCTTCAAGTCAGCACTAGAGCCCAGATCCGCAGACCCCTAAAAAGCTAAAGCCTATGACCCGAAACCCTATATATGGTCAGGCGCTCCGCGGCCCGCTTTAAACCCTATAACGCCCCTTTAAACCATATGCCCTTACAAGTATAGACAAAAGGGGTCCTACTACGAGCGGCTTCTAGGGCTTATAGTACGCACTGCTAAGCCCCCAACTCTGCACCCTAAACCCCAAACTCTGAACATCAACAGTCCGATGCACTTTCAAGGGAGACCCTAGACCCTTTAAGCCCTAAAGACTTTTATATACCCCTAAACCCCAAACTCTAAACATGCACTTTAAAAAAAAAAAACATCAACAGTCCCAATCCACTTTTAAAGAAGACCCCAGGCCCGTTGACCTCTAAACCCTTTCTACACCCCCAAGCCACCCCTAAACCCTATACCCTAAACCCTTTATAAACCCCCTAAGCCCTATACCCTAAACTTTATACTGGTGTTTCACCTTGCTTCAGCGTAGGCCCCGACGTGGCTGGGATGGTCGTAAAGTCCGCTCCGTTGCACTTAAAAAAAAACCCCCTAAACCCTATACCCTAAACTTTCCTAAACCCCTAAACCCTATACCCCTAACCCCTTTCATACACCCCCCTAAAGCCCAACTCTGCTAGGCCACGAAGAAGAAGAAGGGAGGCGACTCGGCGACTGCGCCCAGCAGGATCAAGAAGGCCTCCCTGGCACAGGGGGAACCCCTGCAGCTGGCGACCCCAATGCTAATTTTTTCTTATGAGGTATGTTTCAGGCTCTGAGGTTTGAGAAGGCTTTTTATGAGGTTCTATAAGGCTTTTTTTTATATGAGGTTTGGGAAGCGTGTTTTTAAGGCTGTTGAAGGGTTTACATGCGCCGGCGGTGCACGTTCTCGAACCCCAAGCGTATCCCCGCTCCCCCCCACCTGCCCGGCTTGGCGTGCGTCATGTGCCAGCCCTCTTATAACAAGGGCCCTAAAAGGGACCATAATTCCCTAAACCCAAACCCTGAACCCTAAATAATCATAATTCCCTGAACCCAAAGCCCTAAACCCTAATTCCCTAAACGCAAAACCCTAAACCCCAAATAATCATAATTCCGTAAACCCCAAAACCCTAAACCCTAAAGAATTGAGAGACCGACCCATATGAACCCCAAACCCAAAACCCTAAAGGATTAAGAGACCCCGAAAAGGGAGCATATTTCCCTAAACCCAAAACCCTAAAACCCTAAGACCCTAAACCCTAAGAGACCGACCCATGTGACCAGTCACACCAGCTTTTCGCCCCGCGACAGGACCTACAGGCGGCCATCAACCAGGTTAAAAGATTCGACGAGGCCGCGTTAGTTTAGGGTTTAGGGTTTAGGGGTTTAGGGCCTTTAGGGTTTTGGGCTTAGGGCCTTTAGGGCTTAGGGTTTAGGGTTTAGAGTTTTAGGGTTTAGGGTTTTGTTTTTAAGGCCTTTTTGGGTTCCGGTTTAGAGGTCTAGGATTTTTAGGTGTTGCAGCCTTTAGGCTTTTAGGGTTTAGGGTTTCGGGTTGGACTTGAAGCCTTAGTTAATTGGGCCGAGAGCTTGCAGGCTTTCGGGTTTGGTTTCTTCCTTTTCGGCTGTCTGCTTTTATGAGAGCTCACACACGTTTGCCAGCAACCTTTGGGGTTTAGGGTTTAGGATTTAGGGTTTAGGGTTTAGGACTTAGGGCATAGGGTTTAGGATTTAGGGTTTAGGGTTTAGGATTTAGGGTATAGGGTATAGGGTTTAGGGAAACTTGTCAATATTCCTGCTTAGGTCCGGGCCATGCAAGAAAACACACACGTCCGGGGTCTCCTCTGAGGCGACTGGCGCCAGTAGGATCTTCAGTCCAGCAAAGCAGAGGGGGGCCCGGTTTAGGGTTTAGGGTTTACGGTTTAGGGTTTAGGGGGCCGAAGAGTGTGAAGACGGCCATCACATGCAATGCACGGAGGCACTGGTCCTAAGTGAAAACCATAGTGGTTTTTGAACATAGGCTTAACTTTTCGGTGTGGCAGTGGGTATTCCTCCTGACCCCTCCTCCATGCCGGCCCTTCTGCACTCAATACAAAAAAACAGTAAGCGGGAGCATGTTCTTTTTTCTACTGCCTACACCATGGACCATGAAGGTCATACCATACCAGGCAGCCAACTCAAACCTGAATCCTAAACCCCAAACCCTAAACCCATCAATATCATATCCGTCATGTCAAGATCATCTATCCGAGGTGGACGGCTTAACAGGATGCCCAGCCCTTTGTTTGTTTTAATTGTGCAAGGGTTTAGGGAGCTTTCGGGTTTTTGGGGCTTGTTTACGGTTCAGGGCTGCGTTTAGGGGTCCAAGGGTTGTTTGGTTTACGGGCGTGGGAGTATCGGGGCTTAGGCGTTGCAGGGTTTAGGGCTGTTTAGGTTTGGGGTTTAGGGTTTAGGGCTTCTTAGGTTTACGGTTTGGGGCTGTTTAGGGTTTAGGATTTAGGGTTTAGGGCTGTTTAGGTTTAGAGTCCAAGCCCTTGCTTGACGAGAGGCCAACGAGCAAGATCGAATCCTCTTCATCGGCAGCACGTCCAGGTGCATCCGGATGCTGTATTGAAGATCTGGGGTATTCAGAACCTGTCGCAGCTCTACTTGAAGCAACTGTAGAATGGAATCCAGAGCTGCCCTTGCTTCTTGAAGGCTTCATGTAGGTGTTTAGTTCAGGCCACTGACATGTGCACCAATCAGATTTGCAGTTTTGAGACTCCGAGATTGACAGAGGTGAGGCGACAGCTCCGCACCCTCGCAGCCGGCTGCTCGTTCAGCTTTTCCTGTGCCCGGGTCGCTCCAATTTTCTGCGAAGCAGATCTGCCATGCCGCGCCAGAGCAGCCGTCCCTCTGCGAGTGCACCGCAGCGCGCCGCGCCGGCACCGTCCCATGGTCGCGCGGCCCCAGCGCCAGCAGCTACGCAGGCACCTCCTCCTGCGCAGCATGCTCCAGCCCCTGCACCTGCAGCGGCTGCTCCGGCAGCTGCTCCCGCAGCTGGCGGAGGCATGATGTCGGGCCTCATGGGCTCTATGATGTCTGGCATGGCCACGGGCACAGGCATGGCTGTGGCCAACCGTGCTGTGGATGCAGTGATGGGCCCGCGCCAGACAGAGGTGGTTCACCGTCATGAGGGTGCCCCTGTTGCTGCCGCTTCTCCTTCGTGCCAGTTCCAGCAGGACCAGCTTGAGCAGTGCATGAAATCCTCCAGCAATGCTGCATCGTGCCAGTCCTTCATGGATGCGCTGAAAGCCTGCCAGCAAGGCCAGTGAGATCGGCAGTTTCAAATCTCTAGTCGAGGCTTGAGCCACTGAGCCCAAAGCGTGGACGACCGCACTTCCATCTTCGAGCCGCAGGCACAGGCGGCAAGTTTTGGATGGGTGCCTGGAGCCATGCGTCTTGTATGCTTTACAGACCTTGTTGCATCAGTAGCAAAAATCGCGTTCATCACTTTGGATGGGTTCTGTCTGCATCATGTACACAGTCAGACTATATGGCTCGGGACAGCGTCATGCACCTAATCGAGCGATGTAGATTCGGGTATGAGGGAGGCACGCCCACGATGGATTCGTAATAAGTGTGAATCATGAATACGTTGAGAATCCTCGCAGCTTGCTCTGCCCAAGCAGATTTTCGAGGTGTCCGTCCGTGTGCCACATGACACAGCCATGCCGCGCCAGAGCAGCCGTCCCTCTGCCAGTGCACCGCAGCGCGCCGCGCCGGC